TTTTCTATTGAACCTCATCTTTCACCACCTGAATTGTCAATAAAAGCCATATTGCGAGCACGGAGACTCTCCTCAACTTAGCTTCTCTGGGCCCTTTTGAGAGGAGGTCAGGTGGTTCAAATATGTTAGGCTGCAGGTTTAGTTAAAGAGCTGATCGGCCTTTCGCCCGCTCACTGTCTCTGAGCTCCTTTTTAGTGGTCATGGACTGGTCCAGTGCATATACCACGGCGAAATAGACTTTTGCTCTTTTCTTCATTGCCACAAAAGGCCAGGCACTTCGCTGGAGTTCCCATTCCCCTTTTACATAGTGATAAGGCAGCCATTATCCTTTGAACCTTTCTTTTCACCACACCAGGAGAAAAGGAAGAGTGAAAAAGAAGGAGGAGGAGGACAGAGAAAGATTTCTTCCCTGAGGTGAGCCCGGCCTCACCTCTGTGTGGCGGGCTTTTTTGTGAGCAGTGAAGAGGTCCTTAACCTTCTATCAGATGGAGGCACACAGTTGTGTTCTGCTTGAATAACTACATTGAAAAGCCCTGGAGCACAGGAGATAGTTCTATAGACTCTGCAAGTGGCATTGAGAGGGAGAGAGACGGGCAGACTGACCGAAAGAGAGAGAGAGAGAGAGGTGGGGGGTGGACTATGTTGTATGACCTGCTGGAGTGTGACCCTCACATGATGTGCACACTCTTTGTTAAAGTGCTCATCAGTGCTTCACTGTGAATCTTTTCTTTGTTGGACAGGTCTCACTGACTGGATGGTCCTTTTCTAGTAATGTCACAACACAGCTCACATTTATATAATACACTTCCTTTCACAGAGCTCATTTTACAGAGTAACTCTCGTCTTGCTCTCGGCCTATAAAAGGCTGTACAGTAGGAGCAGTAGTAACAATATTAGAGTGTGGATATTTGAGTGTCATGTTGAAGGGCTCAAAGTGGGTGATGGTGGATGATACTGCAGGCTACTTTAATAAGAGCCTCATCTGTTAACTTTAATAGCAGCAGAAAGACTCCGTTGACCTCATAATATAAATGCCATGCACAGTCATCTTGCTGAGGCTTGTTTTTGCCGTTATGTAGAAAAATCCTCCAGACTCAAACTTCCATTATGTCGTAAAAATTCCAAATAGGCCATCAGCCAACCCTATAAAGACAACATATGTAAAGCATTGACGAGTCAAGACACTTCTCTGCCATCCAAACCACAATTTTTATATTGATCAAATAGTATAAATAAAAAAGAATGACATCACCAGGAAATGTGCATTTACAAATGTCTTAGGCTATTGCACTATTGAGGCAGTACAAGATGTCTTCAAATTCAGAAAGATTTGGAGAACTTTTGAAAGGCAGTGTGGCTAGATATTCCCAAATGAAAGGAGTGGCATTATGACATTTACAAGCACATAGTATCATTTTAATCAAGTAACGATATTACCTTCAGTTATTTAAAAAAGGTTGTTCTCTCACCTTTTATTTACCAAATATAGCTCAAGTAGTTTGACTTTGCTATTTAAGCTTTAAATTAGGCCTGACGTTTTAAGAAGGTTCTACTCTTTCTGACACTCTGCCTTCAGCATATCATCACAGTGGTGCTCCATCATTATCCCATTTACAACCATGATTAGTAGTAAATGGGATCTTAGTAGCATTGGACTGAGAAATAGTTTGTATGATTAGCTTAGCAGGAGTTTGCTAATTACTGCTGCCGCTAGTCTGGTGGAGCAGAGTTGGGGAGGGAAGGGCCTGTGCAATGATACATTTTTCATAACATAATAAATATATTTTTGTTAGATCACCAAAACCTGATATTTTAACTGGGTTGTGAAGATTTTTCTTCATATAAACAGAATAACAAAATGCAGCTTGCTCTGTCTAAAATCCATGGCAGCTAATTCATGTAGTCCTGACACTGAATTTAATCGGTGTCAGCCATAGATATTTTGAAGATTAATGTTGAAACCCCAATTTGATGCCATGTATTGGGGTGAAATTTGATGTCAGTGGCAACTAAAATACAGAAGATTCAAAAGTCCATTCTGAGATGGTCATACTCGTCTGTATCCTGGAATCTCCTAGAAATGTTTGGAATGGATTGAAAATATTATAGAGCATGAGCAGAGGTTATGCGAGTCCAAATGTCACACTTGAGCTCAATGCCTTGTCTGTTGAGGTCTCGATTCCCAGATTTAAAACCATGATCATCGTATTCAGCTCTTCAATTATTATAAAAGTCACACACCAAACTGAGTTCAAGAAGTGCAAAGTGAATACGAAGGCAACAGTACGATTGGATTGTTGATTTTAATTGACAACAGTAGTGTTTTATAAAGATCCTTCTATTTCTTCATGTCTTAAGGAAAACTGAGATGCTTTTCTTGGCGTTTCGTCTGCATGTTTACTGATGCATAAAGTATCGTCTCTTCTGGCTGTGTCAGCATTACTAGCATTAGGTGACAGAAGTCAAATGCTATAAATTTCCGTCTTCCCATGTAAATGATCACAAACCATCGGCCACGGTTGTCAAATGAAATGTTTACCGTAGTTGGTAAACATGCCATTCCATCTTAGTTCTGCAGTGCAGTTTTCACGCTGTCAAATATAGGAGACATAAGAAACCGTTTCTGGTTTTATGAGCAGAAATCCCGAGAGAGAAGGGAGAAAAAACAAACAAAAAAAACAGTGGCTTGAACAAAAGTTCTCTCACCTTTTAATTGGACAACGGTGTGTGATCAAGTTGTACCGACCAGAACAATGGAGTTATTGTAGTGAAGATAAAAAAACACAAGGGTTCTCCGTTCTTCAGACTCCGCCAATAAAATCATAACCCTTAGTACTACAAATTTCACTTATCCCACTCCCTCTCACTTTAATGTGATTTCCACTTGATTGCCTAGTATTAGACAGAGGTTACAACGTGTGACAATATAAATGCTTGTTTATAAAAGCTGTTACTGTGGGCGATATTGCTTCGGCAGTTTTTTATTTGTACACCACTATAACGACATCTAACCACGTAGTCATCTTAAAGAACATTTTTCACACACAGAAACTTTATTGTTTTCACAACATTGTTGTGTGCTTCTGCTGGTTTTCCAGCAAAACAAACAATTCAGGGCAGAAAAATAACTTAGTTAGCAGTTGCAGAGGATTCTTCTACAGCTCGGCTGAATTTATACAGCATGTTCTTGATCTTTATTGTGAATCCCTTGCATGTTCTGCTTGTCTTTACTTTTTGTTTTGCTAATGCAAGCATAACTAAGCATTTCATCTAGAAACCAAATAGGAGTCTCCCTCTACCATACTTTGTACCCTATATATAGGGCCCACTTTCTTTTGGCTGGATCTGTCTCATTTTCCTCTCAGGCTTTTTAGCCAATAATGTGAGCTTAATAAAAAGAATGTTTAATAACCACTTATAGGTTACAGGGTATTTCCAAAAGGCACTTTTAATCAGACAAATGAGACTCATCTGGACGTTTATTGGATGTAACTGTGTATATGCCCATATAAATTTGGCTCACTAAGATTATTGAAGTTGCTCATGTTGCACTAATTGCTGACCCTCATATAGTCCAATCATCCTGAGTTAGAATAACATCAGAAATGGTAGTATACTTTCTCTATTAGTTGTTTAAGCAAAGATAAATGATCACCAGAAATCCTCTTTTTTTCACTCTGTTTCATTTGGTTCCTGTAAGCCAGTGGTATTATTTGTATGTCAAATTCAACAACACATACAAAAAAAAACCCTCAAAGCACATCTGGAGACCAGATTTGGAGAGCAAATCTACAAATTGCTTATTTCTATCCTCCCTTTCCTAAGAAGAGTAATGAGCGACTTACAATTAGTTGAACTGTGTATATAGGTTATTGAAGGTCCCCGTGCGTTGCCCTCTATTTTTTTCCGCCAAATTGAAAATATTTTAGGGAGGTGCAAATGAAGTGCCTTGGAGCCGCATGTGGCCTGTGAGCCGTGCAGCAAGTAACCGGGGCCCCACAAGCTGTGCCAACGTCTTGTGTGCCAAATGTGTGGCAAGAGGGTGGCATGAATAGTGTGCCAGCGCTAGTCTGCCTGGCTGCCAGGCACTTCTCTTTATCCAATCAGACAGTTCGGCTTGAGCGAGACCCCTATTCTTGTCTGTTTCCATCTCCTCCTGAAGCTTTTCAGCCCTCCCGTGAAAAACACAGATGTGTGCAGGGCTGTGCACAGCATTAAGCCTCCTCTGTGCACTGTTACGCTCACCTAGAGACCATAACCAGGGAGTGAGAAGCGCACGGCGTTCCCTCTTTGTTTCTACCCGCTGATGCTCTCCGGTCTCCTTTTCTCTCCAAGACAGAATCACAGGCTAAATGAGCATGCCTCAGTCGGTTTTTTAAGCTTTTCATCAGAGTTATAGAAAGATGAGTTTGTCAGGGATGTCTGAAGAAGAAACGCTGTCTGACTGTGTGTGGCTTTATTGGACATGATGAAGGATGATATTATTGTGGATGCTGCTTCTGCTGCGGCCGGGAGATGAGGAAGGGTCCCATTTGTCTCTCTCCCGCTTAGTGTAATGTGTCTATCTGTCACTCTTCTCTCCAAGACTGGACGTTGAGGTTTTGTCAAAGTAATAATAATAATAATAATAAAAAGAAGCATAATGTCAACACTGTTTCCATTTTTTTAACTGCTGGCCATTATTGTTAATTTTCTCCCCTGTCGCCACTCTAATCCAGACAAAGAGTAACACCACAGAGATTGCATAATTTCCTGTAATATCTAAAATTACAGCGCACAAATGAAGGAGGGAGAGCGGTAACCTGACGATAATCCTGTGATCACCGAATGATTGCGTGGGAGAGAGGTGCTTAGAAAGAAATAAGTGTGAAGCAGCAAGGATATATATTCTAAGAGTAATTACAGCGAGTAGATGAAATGAGATTGAATGGGGAGGAGGTGATGTGAGGCACTCGGTGCAAAGATTAAGCTAATGCCAACGCTGCTCTTGTGTCTTCCAGGTTGACGACGCCATGCTTATGTTTGATAAGACTACTAACAGACATAGAGGTAAGTTCATAGCTTCGTCTTTGGTGCCGTTTTCTCCAAAAAGAAGTGAGAAAACAGTCATTTTATGTCCTTTCCCCATGAGATAACACAGAACAGTTCCATTGCACATGATATTAGGTGTACCATCTGTTCAACAATGGGAGCGTGTCAAAGTAATCAATAAGCTGGTACGGTGTTTAGAATGTTTGAGCGTTAGACGCCACCCGTGAGAGTGTGTGTCTGTGTATGTGATGATGCTGGTGTGAGTGTTTCAGAGAGGTGCTTAAAGGGTGTAAAGATGGCGAGATGGTGGGTGCTGTGCAGTCAGATAACAGCATCAGATAAGACCCGGGAGAAGCACTGACTTTATCACTCCATCTCATCAGCTCCTTATCTGAGATGAGGGGGACATTTCTCTCTCATGCAGAGGACTTTCCAAAGACAGGTTTCCTTCCTGCACCACACTGCAGTTATAGCCTTTTAGTCCCACCAGTGTTGTTTTAAGCCTGGTTTAAACAGTTGATGTCCAGGGACAGTTGCTTGTGCTGCAGTTAGTTAGGCCTACTACCTCAGTCCACTTGCATTTCATGCAAACCCAATGCAGATCAAATAAGTGTCTTAATCATCATCAGTCTGTTTAACACTGAACTCTTTTTTTCCGGGTTTAACTTGCATGGCGTCCCATCCAGAGCAGGCCACAAACTCTCCAACTGAACACAGAAGGAATACAGGCACCGTTGCATTTTCTTTGTGTCACAGCTTCTCCTCACAACACTTTTTCTTGTTGGTTCTTTTGTCTCTGGCTACATTCGTTTTTTTTTATTTTTATCTTCAGGTTCTTGCTTGTGGTGCGTCCCGCTTGTCATTGGCTCCTGACAGCCAGCTACAATTTTATAGAGACACTTTCTTGTTTTGGGACATTTCCATTACGTAATATAAAGAATTCCTGGCGATAAAGACATCATGAAGTCTCTTTTCCCAACTGAAAAATGAACAGGTTAGTGTTGAGCATAGTTGTGCATTGGAGCAAACAATTTGGTCAGTGGGGTCGACTTGCATGGGAGTAAAATGGGACTTAAACTGCCTAAGCCTCCATCAGAACTAAATCCACACTGTCCATTTAGGTTATTCTCAAAAATGACAGCACCACTCAGATCTTTGACATATGTCCTGTACTGATAGTTCTTAAATTTGGGGCCAGGATCCCACTTGGGGTTGCGGATATTAAGCCTGGGGTTTTTAGGTCCTCTTCAAAAATTTAACTGGATCCAAAAATGATGATGATGAAACATATACATTTCAGAAAGATTGTAACACATAAAAACAAAAATAGGAATTGAATAAAACTAATTAAGATGAAAAAAATAAAAATAAAAGCAACATGTTGGCCAACATATTGTGTGATAATTGCACCACATTTTAATCAACTCCCTAAAAGTGCTTGTATGCTCAACCTGTCAACATGTCTTTTTATCTTTTGGGCAAGAAGTTGAAAAGTTTGGGAACCACTCCCTTCAAGCAAGATAATTTTACCATAATATATAATCCATTGACATATTTCTCTAATTATTTGAATACATAAAACCAAATGAATAGTGCACTGTCTTTTTGTTCCTAGATCCATTTAGGGCCTCTTCTATTGTCCGTAACAGCTCAACAATGCAAGAAAGTAACTTTTTTTGGAGGCAGACTGTCACCAACTGTTTACGTGGGTGTGCGTTAGCAGTCGGCAGGCACTGACAGGTATTCAGCGAGAAAAAGGGGCAGACACTCATCTGGTTGTCACACCAGTCAGCTCACTAGTAGGTAGAGCTGCCATCACACCATTGCTTTGTACTGGGCTGAGCACTGCTCTGCCATAGAGGTGTAAATATTTGTTTGCACTGAGCCACTGTTCTTTTTTTATGTCTAAATCATAAATTTTTTAAGTGCGTTTTGGCCTTAGTTTGAAAACCTTCCATCTTTCTTTTTCAGATCTATCTGCATTACTAGATGTGCGGGCGTGTGTGTTTGTGTGGGTGTGTGCTGTGCAGATAGACTCTTTGAGTCTGGTAAACAGTTCCTAAGTGTGAAACATGTGAACTTTAGTGGAAGTGATCTATGGCTTTGAGGGGATTTTGATCTGTAGTGACAGAACCCAGTGTGAGGTCTGCTGTGAGACGAAGGCTTTTCTCGCAGTCTCTCTTATTTCTCACTCTTTTCCTCTCCTGTCTGCTGCACCGCCAGCCGCTCTCCAAGAGGCTCCGGGCGCCACAATTGGGAGTGTGTGTTTTGTGTGTGTGCCTGCGCGCGTGTGAGGCGTTTGCCTTTGGACAGCTAAATGCCCTTCAAACGAAGACAGTGATGGAGAAAGAGCCTTCTTGGCAATTTCTTTTCTAATGATATACTTATATCGAGCATGACGTGGCGCTAAGAGGCAGCTGCAGTTCCACCAGCAGACTCTGGTTTGTCCACCTTAAAGATCCGCTGCTTTCATCTTAAAACCACAGCAGCTCTTGCTGATGAATTGCATATAATATTATAGACCAATAAGAGAATCTCAATAATTCATCCGAGCCATTGGTGCAACTGTGTAATATTAATGGCTTAGTTGCCCTGTGACCACAACGGAAACAACATTGAATATAATATGAGTGAAACTAGTCCCCAGGCCCACTCTGCCACGTAATCCAGAGCAAGTGACGGGCATCTGGCACCTTGCAGTCCAAATCAATTTCCCACCTGTTTCATTTTATCTTACAGATTGAGTCATGAAAAAATAATTCTTTTTTTTTCTTTTTTTCTTTTGCAGGGCTGCAATTGCTAAAAATAACATTATTTATTCAGCAAATCGAATGTTACACTGAGGAGTTCTCCTCAGATAAAGGGATTGCTGTTTCTGTAATTGCAAACCCTTAAAAATAATAGTTCAGGTGGAGCATACTGTGCTTTGAAAGCAGCTTGAAGAGTGCATTTATAACAGGTAAGAAAAAATTCTCTCACACCTGGAACAGTGTTGAGACGCTGCACTTTACAACAATGACAAACAACTCATCCACCAACCTGCTTTACCAAGTGTGACTTAAAACAAAAGCAACGAGAGTGAAGAAGGTAGATAGTTCTTTCTGAGAGAATACCTAAAAGCAGACATTTCTGAGGTTACAGTGGTTTCAACTTTTTCACATTTTGTCACCTTACAAATACAAACCCCATCGTGTTTACTTGGGACACAAAGTAGTGTATAATTTTGTCTTTGGAGCAAAAGTAAATGAGGTTTTCAAAATATTTAACAAATATATATCTGAAAATTGATTCAGTCATTTATATCCAGCCTCTTTTACATTTTTATATATGTACGTGTGTGTGTGTGTGTGCGCGCGCGTGTGTGTGTGTGTGGTAAACTTACATTAGTCAACAAACTTTTAGAGTAAAAACAGAGAGAATAGGGTTTCCCCTAGGATTTTCTTAAAATTGTGGTGCTGGATTGTAGTGAGAGCAAACATGTACAACAAGGTAGTATGAGGTACGATGTGGCCAAAATTTCACTTTTTGTAACCACATGCAAAACACTGTGTGGTGAAAAACTACATCCACATCAATCATGCTAATGTTTAAACAATAAGACTCTGCGGAGGCAGCATGATACTGTGGGGATTCTGTTGGTTAGTCCAGACTTAAGTTCGGTTGAGAATTTGTGGCATTTCCCAAATGATTTGCAGTTACATAAAAAAATCTGAAAAGTATTTTCATAGTGTATGATGTGCCATTCTGAATTAGATGGAGAAAAGGAAAATTGCTATGGTGTACTTAGTAGACAGCAGTGTTATTTCTGTGCCTATGTATTTTTCATTTTCTGAGATTTTGATCTAGCTGTGTAATGTTTTGTTTTGAGGAGTTTATTGCATGATTGCCGCTTGATTATTAGTGTGTCTTCCTTGGTGCTTTGGTGAATTAGAGAGAGGACAAACGTCACACTCCACTAGTAGCAGCATTGTCCTTCAGACGGTTCCCCCGAGCCCGGCTAAGCGACAACCAAAGGAGACGTTCTCTACCCTTCTCGTTTCCTCTCTGCACCTTTGTTTCCGCTCTCTATCTCTCCCGGTCATTCATTCTTTCTCGTTCTTCCTTTTATTTCGCACAGTTGCACTATTTCTGTCTCTGCGCCGTCTCACCCCCATCCTGACTGCATGTCTTTGCCATCTTTTGCCTTCTCCTGTCTTTCTTCCCCCTCCTGCTAGAGGACACTCGCTGTAAGCAAAGCTCTCCACACAAAGGCGCACGCTGCACACCATCTTCTTGGCATTTAAAGGATGAGAATACAGCCAATTGTGTTGGAAATTGAACTCTCTAAAGCCTGCCTTCCCACCGCAGCAGTTCATTGTGGGTGAGTTCAGTGTCTTTGGTGAGCGGCTTGAGCTGTCCAGAGGTTGATGCCAGAGGGCGCCTATTGTTCCATGTTCCCCTGCAGTGTCTCCCCGCCACTCCGCCTCCCTTCAACCTTCCCTTCTTCCCCTGACATTCATCTCAGGAGAGAAAAAGCGGAAAAACCTGAAATGCGTGCAATTTGTCAGCGCTTATTTTTTACGAGTTATGCTTAAGCCGTCTTGTTACTGGATGCCACAGTTCCCAAAAAAAGAAAACCCAGGCTGGGACAAGGCCATAAGCACATGTCGCCGTCTGCACATACTTGTCATCATTCCCAGCACCCTTCCCATGACTCCAGGATGACAGGACGGACTGCGTGGGGTGGGGGAAAAAAAGCTCTTTGGACGAGCCCCGAGTCGGGGTTTTTTTCTTCTTTTCACCACCTCCTGTTTGGCTGACTGACACATGAGCTATGATCTAAAATGTGATTTTACTGTCAAACACAATTGGTAGTGCCAAAGAGAGAGTTGTGGCGAGGTGAAGAAAAAATGGCATCTCCTGCAAGAGGGGTATGAAGGCTGTGATGAAAGAGTGGCAGCTATCATTATCCATCAAAGCATCACAGTTTAATTTGTGGGCAAAAACTACGGAGGATGATAGATGAATCTCACAGCTCA